TCACTGAGATAAACATCAAAATTTTTGTGTTACTTGAAAGTAATGATTCAAAATTAGGTCAACCTGCTTTGAAAGTGTGATTTAGCACATTCCCTCCCTTGTCAGACAAAATCACACTGCTACTAACTTGCATTCAAAACATATCACACTCTCCCATAGAAATCCAGAAATAAGAAGCTTTTGCTTGGATATTGACAAAACAGGATTTTTGCTATAACTTCAAAGTAATGAATACAACCTAGATAAAATTAATTTCAAAGTGTGATTTAGCACATTCCCTGCCTTGTCAGACAAAATAAAACTACTACTAACTTGCATTCAAAACATATCAAAATTTCCTATAGAAATCCATAAATAAGAAGCTTTCGCTTAGATATGGACAAAACAGGATGTTTGCTATAACTTCAAAATAATGAATACAAAATAGGTAAAATGACTTTCAACGTGTTATTTAGCACATTCCCTGCCTTGTCACGAAGAATCACACTGATACTAACTTGCAGTCAAAAGATTTCACACTATCAATATTCCCCAAATCACTGACAAACATCAAACCCGATTTTTGTGTTACTAGAAAGTAATGATTCAAAACTAGGTCAAACTGCTTTGAAAGTGTGATTTAGCACAATCCCTGCCTTGTCAGACAAAATCACACTACTACTAACTTGCATTAAAAAAATATTACACTCTCCTATAAAATCCAGGAATAAGAAGCTTTGGCTTAGATATGGACAAAACAGGATTTTTGCTATAACTTCAAAGTAATGAATACAACTTGGGTAAAATGACTTTCAAAGGGGACTCCGACTGTTAGGCGGAGCTTTAACTCCCACCTCCGGGAGAGCTTCGAGCACGTTCCGGGGAGGCGGGGGACATTGAGTCCGAGTGGGCCATGTTCCGCACCTCCATCAATGACGCAGCCTCCCGGAGCTGCGGTCGCAGGGCGGTTGGTGCCTGTCGTGGCGGCAACCCTCGAACCCGCTGGTGGACACCGGCGGTGAGGGATGCCGTCAGGCTGAAGAAGGAGTCCTATCGGGCCTTTTTGGCCTGTGGGACTCCGGAGGCAGCCGATGGGTACCGGCAGTCCAAGCGACGTGCGGCTCGGGTGGTCGCCGAGGCAAAAACCCGGGCGTGGGAGGAGTTTGGGGCGGCCATGGAAAAAGACTTCCGTACGGCCTCGAAGCGATTCTGGTCCACCATCCGGCGTTTCAGGGGGGGGAAGCAGTGCCCCACCAACACTGTTTACAGTGGGGGTGGTGTGCTGTTGACCTCAACTCGTGACGTTGTGGGTCGGTGGGCGGACTACTTCGAGGACCTTCTCAATCCCACTGGCGCGTCCTCCATTGGAGGGGCAGAGCCTGGGGAGTTGGAATCTCTAATCTCCGGGGCTGAAGTCACCGAGGTGGTCAAAAAGCTCCGCGGTGGCAAGGCCCCGGGGGTGGATGAGATTCGGCCGGAGTTCCTCAAGGCTTTGGATGTTGTGGGGCTGCATTGGCTAACGCGACTCTGCAACATCGCGTGGACATCAGGGGCAGTTCCGCTGGATTGGCAGACTGGGGTGGTGGTCCCCCTATTTAAAAAGGGGGATCGAAGGGTGTGTTCCAACTACAGGGGGATCACACTCTTAAGCCTCCCTGGGAAGGTCTATTCAGCTGTTCTGGAGAGGAGGGTCCGTCGGATAGTCGAGCCTCGGATCGAGGAGGAGCAGTGTGGTTTTCGACCTGGCCGTGGAACGCTGGACCAGCTCTATACCCTCAGCGGGGTCCTAGAGGGCGCATGGGAGTTCGCTCAACCAGTCCACATGTGTTTTGTGGACTTGGAGAAGGCGTTCGACCGTGTCCCCCGGGGTATCCTGTGGGGGGTGCTCCGGGAGTATGGGGTACCTCGCCCTTTGCTAAGGGCTGTTCGGTCCCTGTACGACCGGAGTCAGAGTCTGGTTCGCATTGCCGGTAGTAAGTCGGACTCGTTTCCGGTGGGAGTTGGACTCCGCCAAGGCTGCCCTATGTCTCCGGTCCTGTTCGTAACTTTTATGGACAGGATTTCTAGGCGCAGCCGAGGTGTTGAGGGTATCAGTCTTGGTGGCCTTAGGATCGCATCTCTGCTTTTTGCAGATGATGTGGTCCTGTTGGCTTCATCAAGTCGGGACCTACAGCTCGCGCTGGAGCGGTTCGCAGCCGAGTGCGAAGCGGCTGGGATGAGGATAAGTGCCTCCAAGTCCGAGACCATGGAGGAGTTCAAGTATCTCGGGGTCCTGTTCGCGAATGGGGGTAGGGAGCGTGAGATCGATAGGCGGATCGGTGCGGCGTCTGCAGTAATGCGGGCGCTGTACCGGTCTGTCGTGATTTATCGGTCGATCTACGTTCCCACCCTCGTCTATGGCCACGAACTTTGGGTAGTGACCGAAAGAACAAGATCGCGGATACAAGCGGCCGAAATGAGTTTCCTCCACAGGGTGGCTGGGCTCTCCCTTAGAGATAGGGTGAGAAGCTCAGCCATCCGGGAGGGGCTCAGAGTAGAGCCGCAGCTGAGGTGGCTCAGGCATCTGTTCAGGATGCCTCCTGGACGCCTCCCTGGGGAGGTGTTCCGGGCTCGTCCCACCGGGAGAAGGCCCAGAGGAAGACCCAGGACCCGCTGGAGGAACTATGTGTCCCGGCTGGCCTGGGAACGCCTCGGGATCCCCCCGGAGGAGCTGGCTGAAGTGGCTGGGGAGAGGGAAGTCTGGGTTTCCCTGCGCCGGCTGCTGCCCCCGCGACCCGACCCCGGATAAGCGGTGGGAAAATGGATGGATGGATGGATGGACTTTCAAAGTGTGATTTAGTACACCCCCAACCTTGTCACTAAGAATCACACTGATACTAACTTGCAGTCAAAAGATGTCACACTATCAAAATTCCCCAAATCACTGAGATACACATCAAACAGGATTTTTGTGTTGCTTGAAAGTAATGATTCAAAACTAGGTCAAACTACTTTGAAAGTGTGATTTAGCACATTCCCTGCCTTGTCAGACAAAATCATATAAAGTGAATAGAACTGCTACTAACTTGGATTCAAAAGATATCACTTTCCTTTATAAATCCAGAAATATGCGCCTTTTGCTTAGATATGAACAAATTAGGATTTTTGATATAACTTAAGAGTAATGATTCAAACTAGGTCAAACTGCTTTGAAATTGTGATTTAGCACATTCCCTGCCTTGTCAGACAAAATCACACTGCTACTAACTTGCATTCAAAATATATAACTTTCCTGTATAAATCCAGAAATGAGCAGCTTTCACCTAGATATGCACAAAAAACAGGATTTTTTCAAAGTAATGAATACAACTTAGGTAAAATGACTTTCAAAGTGTGATTTAGCACATTCCCAGCCTTGTTAGAAGGAATTACACTGGTACTAACTTGCAGTCAAAAGTTATCACACTATCAAAATTCCCAAAATCTCTGAGATAAAAATCAAACCAGATTTTTGTTTTACTTCAAAGTATTGATTCCAAACTAGGTGAAACTGCTCTGTAAGTGTAATCTAGCACATTCCCTGCCCTGTCAGAAAGAATCACACTGGTACTAACACGCCCCCAACATTTGGACGCGAGGTGCAGTGCAGGTGTCAGTGAGAAAAGCGTGAACGTTTCTCTGTTTTTTGCAGTTTTTGACGCTGATCAGTTTTGTTAAACCGTAAAGGGAGGTTTTTTCCTCCGCCAAGCAGATTTTTTCTGCGGGGGGAGCGCTTTTTGTTCTTGCTTCGATTTATTTTCTAAAAACTTTCTCGGATGGATACAATGGCAAACGAAACAAAAGGAATGGAGGATGACGGCGAAAGGAGGGATGGAGTGAGTGCAGCAGAACAGCTGAGACAGAAGGAAAAGAGAGTTGTGTATGAAGAACGGAACACGGTGATCGTTGAGATGAAGGAGGGGGCGGTGGTGACGGCAATGGAGCTGATGAAGACCATCAGGGAGCTGTGCGGGGCGATTGCAGCCTGCCGATTCCTGGACGACAGGAAATATGAGGTCACCATAGTGACGGATGCGGGAAAGAGGAGGCTGCTGGACGGCTGCAGGATCGGGGAGACGGTGCTGCACGTCAGAGAGCTGACTTCAGATGAGATGGTGGTCTCGTTTCTGGCAATGCCAGCATACATCGGGGACGAGGCTGTGATTGCAAAGCTGGCGACGTGGAAGGTAGAGGCGGTGTCGGAGGTGAAGAGGAGGATGTGGCCGGGCACTCAAGTGGCGGACGGGACGCGGTATGTCAAAGTAAAGTTTAACAAGACTGTGCAGTCCCTAGCCTACTCCACAAAATTTGATACGGCAGCCGGGCCGGAATACATCCGTGTTATTCATGACAGACAGGCCAGAGTGTGCAGACTCTGTCTCCAGCCCGGACATATTGTGAGAGAGTGCCCCGAATTTAAATGCTACAGGTGCGGAGCCCAGGGACATCTTGCAAGGGAGTGCACCGAGGCAGTGTGCTTTGTGCTATAACGCAGTTGACAAGTGTATATGCAACGAGGCGAGCCAGGAATCGGATGGGGGAGACAACAACGAGGACGTGGTTGGAAGTAACGGGCAAAGCGCCGACGAGGATGGAGGGGAGATCGGAGCGACGGCTCAGGAGGGGGGCGGGGCAGCAGCGCAGGAGAGGGCTGCTCCTGCTCTGCCCCAGCTGGAGCCGGAGTCTGGTGCGGCCGGGGAGACGCCGCCGACGCGGCTGGAGGGAGCGGCGCTCCCTGTGCTGAGATTATCTAGCCAGGAGGAGGTGGCGACTGCCGGAGTGTCCGGGCTCCCCGCTCCTGGCGGGACGGACTCGGGGCGAGGATTTCCGGTGGCCGCTTCGCGGGGTTCTGGACAGCCCTCTTCGGATGAACCGGGATCGGACAGTAACATGGACCTGGAAACAGACAAAATCCTTAGGAAAAGACCCAGTCTGGGGAGTAGGCTGCCCCGGAAAAAAAGGATCAGCCAGGAGGCGGCATCCAAAGTAATGGATTAACCAGCATGATCTGCCTCTTTTCGCAAAATGTGCGTGGGCTGCGCTCAGAGCTCAAGATACGGGAAATATTAGGGATGAATTATGACGTTCTCATGGTACAGGAGACTAAATGGGATGACACCCTTGTAAACAGAATTAAGGCATCAACGAAAGGGCAGGTGTTTGCAAGTAATTGGCAGGGTCGGGGCCGTGGGGTTGCAACCCTGTTAAGGGGGGGTTTATTTGAAGCTGTCAGGTGTATTTTTGCAGATGAGGAAGGGAGGATATTGGTGGTAGAGGGGGAGGCGGCAGGTGTAAAATACCGTTTTATAAATGTGTAAGCACCCAATGAGGATGGTGGAAGGAAAAGCTTTTTCCTAAGCATGAAGAAATGGTGCACAAGGGATACAATTGTCATGGGGGATTTTACTGTTGCTTTGACCAGAATGGACGTGTCTGGGAATAATACTTTTAAGGTGGACACGAGCAGGAGGGCACTGTTTCATTTAATAAGAGACAAGAATATGGTTGAGCTGTGGAGGGCGCTCAATCCTCACAAACAGCAGTTTTCGAGAGTCCAAGTTTTAAAAGCTCAGCTAAAGCAGTCTAGAATTGATCTCTGCCTGGTAGCAGAAGACGTGATGAAAGGGGTGCTGGGAATGGAATATCAGGAGAGTTGCTGGAGTGACCATTTCTCCATGGTGTTGCGGGTGGGACGGGGGGGAGCTAAGAGAAATGGAGGCCCCTGGTGCTTCAATAATACTTTCCTCCAGCAGCCCCCTTTGTCCGGAAGATGCGTGGGATATTGGAGACAGCGAAGAAGGAGATGCCTTTTGTAGAGGATCCTCTGGGGTGGTGGGATGTTTTAAAGAAAAGGATTAAGAACGTCAGCACGACGTATGGGAAGGAGAAAGCATCTAGGGAGCGTGAGGAGGAAAGGATTTTAAATGAGGGCATGAAAGCAGAAATGGAGAGGATGGATAGAGGGGAGGACTGTGACATTAGCAGGTATGTCACAATTAAAGATAAGTTGGATGCAATCAGGAGTGGTAACTGTAGGGGGCAATGATTAGGAGCAGGGCGAGGCACATTGTTGAGGGGGAGAAGTGCACGGCTTATTTTTTGGGTCTGGAGAAGAAGAATCAGGAAAAAACGCATATAAGAGAGCTCTTGGTGGATGGAGTTAGGGTCACTGAGCCGCTTCAGATCCTGGGGGAAGCCAGAGCCTTTTATGTCGAGCTGTACTCCTCACAGGGCATCCAGGGGGACTGTGTGGGAGAGATCATGGTCGTAAGCAATAAATTGAGCAGAGAGGACAGTGACTTCTGTGAGGGGCAGCTTGATATCACAGAAGTGCAGGAGGCGATCGTCCAGCTCAACAAGAACAAGAGCCCGGGTTCGGATGGCCTGACGGCGGAATTCTTCCAATTTTTTACATCCTTTCTTTCTCCCATGCTGCACAGGCTGTATGAGACTATGCAGAAGGAGCAGCGCACACCTGCCACCCTGGTAACTGGCCTTTTAACCCTGGTTTTTAAGGGGGGGGAGAAGGCTGATATAGCTCATTACCGGCCCATCAGCCTGCTCAACATGGACTACAAAATCCTGGCAAAGGTGCTGGCGAATAGGATGAAGGCTGTGATCTCCTCTGTGGTAGGTCCGACACAGGCTTATGGCATCCCTGGTCGGGATATCTCAGATACGATTTTAACTGTAAAATATGTGCTACAGGAGATGCAGAGGGTGGGAGGGATCTACCTCGGCTTGGATTTTAACAAGGCCTTCGATCGGGGTGGAACATGGCTTTATGTGGGAGGTTTTAGACCGGTTTGGTTTTGGACATCAATTGCTACAGTGGCTCAAACTGCTGTACAATAGTGCACAGGCACGGATAAAATGCAACGGGACCGTGAGCAGCCCCTTCCCTCTGGGCAGGTCAATCCGGCAGGGCTGCCCTTTATCCGCACTACTTTACAGCCTGGTGGCAGAGCCCCTTGCCAGTGCTCTGAACAAGGACCAGCTTATAAAAGGTATTGTGACGCCTGAGAACCGACAGGTGAAGGTGATGCAGGACGCAGATGACACAAACATCATGGTCAAGACAGAAGATGATCTCCACAGAGCACTGGGGGTAATTGACATTTATTGCAGGGCCTCGGGGCCAAAGATTAACACCAAAAAATCTACAGTGATGTACTGCGGTGAGGTGGAGCAGACGCCAGGCAGGTGGGACTTCCAGCGCGCGGAGCAGAGTGTGAGGGTCCTGGGGGTGCAGCTCGGGGTTAAACAAACAGCTGCGAGGGATGCTGTGTGGGAGCAGCAGCTCGAGGGAGTGGCGGCCATCCTCGGCTTGTGGAGGATGAGGGACTTGAC